GAAAACTTTGAGAGATCTTGATTAAGGCGTCATTGATTTTGACTTTTTTGGCAAATATGGATCGGCACTCGGAAAGGAACCTTACAGGATTTCCTAGACAGGGCGGTAAAAGAAATCGAGACAAAAGAACTAACCATCAACTGCAAGAAAGCAGAAAGCATGAACAATAGCAAGAGGAAAAGCCGACGATGCGAGTTGCGAATCGGTGATATAAATATCAGGCAAGTTCAGAAGTTCACATATCTGGGTATCGCTTTAACAAATAATGGAAAATCCGACGCCGAGATCCAAATGCCCATTGAACGAACAAACGAGGCATTCCCAGAAATGGTATATCGTTAGAAACAAAGAAAAACTGCTATATTGCTGTGTGGTATGCATCTTTTTATATGGCATTGAATGTTGGACAATGAGGAAAAATTAGAACAGGAGAAATATGGATCTACAGAAGGATGCTGAGGATTCTATTAAAGGAGAGAGGTAACAACAAGCACTTTAAAAAAAATGGCAACAGAAAGACCACTTCAGTATCTGTCTATATTTCTGAGATGAGGTATTGTGAGATGAGGTATTAGGAGATGAGGTATTATGTACATTGGTAAATGCAATGATAACAGCGAATGCATGGCACAGTGTATAAAGGCGTTGGTTAGGACCCAAAGAGTATGAGTTCTATACCTGGTTAAAGCAGTGGTGAACTTTAAGAGGGAAATTAACAGAAGATAACTGATAACTGACATCCATTAAACATGGCAGGTGGAACTAGAACAGTCTATCCCAGTGAGCGAAATAAAGGGTTCAGTTCGACATTCCAAGCACCTGAAGAAGGCCAGAGTGTACAACGGCCGAAACGTTGTAAGAAATATGGCGAAAAAGATGAAGACAATAGTCCGAATAATGTAAATAATGTAGAAAGAACACTTATACTCAAAATCAGTAAACAAGCTGAAATATCTGGAAGGAGGGCCTGGAAAACTTCAGCCTCAAGAGAGATAGGAGAATGCTGTAAGCCACATATGTGACTAGTGTTAGTGAATGGCTGGCGGAACTGAGGGTGGGGAACTTAGCAGACGGGGAATAGCGGCTAAGCGCCACACGAAACAGAAAGTTGTGGAGTTCTATATTCACTTATGTTGAGACAAGCAATAAGGTTTCCGCTACGCCCGATCTACAGCTGATGCTATCACTGAAACCGTCTACCAAGCCCTTCAAAATAACGGTGAGGCTTTTGCCGTGGCCCTAGACATCTCCAAAGCTCGGGGCGTAATGCTTAAAAAAAATGTCCTGAATGGAAGCAGTAGTAGATCAAACGAAAAAAAGTGGAATTATTACTTCTAATGATGAAAAAAAGAATTAATATATAATATATAAAAGATAAGTATTGTATTAGAAAGCCTATTTTAAAAGGTTTTCTACAATTTTGATTTTAAAAGGAGAATTTTAAATATATTTTGTAAGTTTGAAACTATTGGTTCAAAAAAATAAAAATTAATAACCCCATGCGCATTCTTGCAAAGAAGCACTGGCATAACTGATATGCTAATAAATTCGCCGAGACATCCAGACATTTATCGATCAAATCAAGAAAACATACACATCGCAAGCCAGTAAATATGATAGCTGAAATCAGAGAGCAGCAATCTATTGACCCTTACTCATTCTTGTCCCGCGTGGCAAGAAAAGTCATTTATTTTTCCGGTTAAAGCAAACGTGACACGATTTAACATATCCCCACCAGTGATTTATAAGCTGGTCGAAAACAATCGATATGACATTTCATCATATTGACTGGCAATTAAATGCATGTGACAAGTTTTGTTTGGAAGACTGACCCTAGTGTCGACTATTAATGATATTCGACTGAAGCAGACGATAAATTTTACCGGTAAATTTGTGAATAAAAAAAATATAAATATTAAATATTAACAAAAAAAAAAAGATACTATAGAAAAAGGAAAAATCGTAAAATAAACTGAGAACCAATATTTGTTGTCTGGAAAATATTGAATTCTACTTAATCAATCAGGCACAGAAAATCTTGATTATTGAACTGATATCTTTAATGGCTTTCTTTTGCTATATGCCATGTGACTTCAAACTGTTGTTGATCGCGGCTCTCCACAATTTCTTGTTAGTAAATTTTGTCTTTTTGCTATCTTTCGTAAACCTTGCTCTGCCATCCATTTACTCATCCTTACTAGCTTTGGTTAGGCGCGGTTTTCTTCTGATTCTCTTGCCTTTAATCTGTCCGTTGTGTACCAAATTTTTCAAGACTTCTTTCTTCATGTGTCCTAGAAATTTCAACTGTCTATTCCTGATGTTAAGTATAAGTGTGCTATTTCTTTCCGTTTTCTCTAACAATTCGTCATTAGTTACGTATTCAGTTAATGTTATTCTCACTATCATTCGTAGAACAATACTGTTGCTTCAAGTCTCTTTATCTCTGAGGAAATTGTCCAGAATTCACTCTCATATAAAAAGACCGATATTACATAATTCTTAAATACTCGTTTCTTTGTTTCTAACGAGATTTTCCTTTTTCTTAATACTTTGCGTAGCTTTTAGAAAACATCTTTCCCAATACGCTTTCGGGTTTCAATATCCTAATTTCTGTTCGATGCCAAACATTTCCCAGATATTTAAATTATTGCACTTATTTGATTTTGGCATTACCAAATTGTAATTTTTATTTTGGGCTGTTTCTTTTTCTTGACAATCATGTATTCTGTCTTCTTGCAATTGGCGTTTAGTCCTTTCTTCTCCCTTTCCCTCACTGTCTTCTGTTAAAGTTAAAAAAAAGAATAGGAGCATTTATTTGATAAAAGTTATGCAAGAATAAATGATGCAATGACGTGAAATTGACGAACCGAGATCGAATTCTAGTTTGGTAGTGAATTCAAAACAAGCCTAAAGTGTGATGTACATGTAATTTTTTTTTCTTTTTTCATAATAACCCATTTTTCGTTTCTGAATTTCCTTTTTTTTGTCGTATTTACACATTGTTTTTCAATCGGTTTCTTTTAAGGATATTTTTTTATTTTTTTAGGAGTAACATATTTTAACTAAATTTACACGCTATTTTTCTTTTAACTGTTATAAAATATGTAAATAAATGTCTTGATTAATTTATTTTAAGCAATTTTAGTTATGTTATTTCTCTTAGTTTTTAAACAAACTTTTCCGTTAAGGATCATTTCTTGGGAGTAATTTATTTTAACTAAAATTTACAGGTTTTTTACAGGTTTTTTTTAACTAGTATTTAACATGTAAATATCTTGGTTAATTAATTTTTAATCAATTTTACTTAAATGTTATTTCTCTTAGTTTTCTAAACGGTATTTTAGTGTTTTCATCAATTATTCATACCATATTTTCGGAGGGTTTTTTTTGTAAATAGTCTAAGTCATTTTAATCACTCTATTGTGAGCATTTTGTTAAGTGTAGTTAAGAAAAAATAAGAATAAAAAGGATAGTTATAAAAAGAGAAAGACCAAACAAAAAAGATTTTATAAAGAATTTAAAAGGAGAGGAAGAGAAAGAAAAGTAAGTCGTAAGACGAGCCAATATAATAAATCGTTTTTATTTTATTAATGTATATATATATATTTATTGGTTTGTTTTCTTTTCTTCTTCCAAAAAAAAAACACCGTCTTGGCCACATGTAGCAAGATCAGTACAAATAAGTATACTTGATCTATAACATCGAATAGCCCAAGTGAAGTCTTGATTAGCTGCCGTTTTCTGGGGGAACTTATATAAAGCACGTCCTAAATCTAGTGGCAAACTTTATTCGGGGTGCAGGCCGAATACTGATCATATTCGGTCGGGTCGCCCATCGAAGAAGTCTGTTGCTTATTTAGACCCGAATCTTCTAGTGACATGGGAGCAACAACACTGACGACACACCTAGATTCGGCACTTAAAGGTGTATTTTTAATAAATACTTCGTCATGTTATCTTTTATTAGACACACAACTGCAATTAAATTTACGAACTTAGTATATTACGAGTCTTGTGAGCTGTTGATACCCTGATAGTGTGGATTAGTGACTATGGGAGTTTACGTCTTCAATTCTTTCTGCTTAATTTCACTCTTTGTCAGTTTGATTTAATTTTTGGCTAAATTTGTGCCTAAATTTGTGGCCCGGCGTCAGGACAAGGTACATTTTCGAAAAACAATATTTAAAATACAGTAGAATTTAAAAAGTTAATTTTTACTAGCGATTGCAATCTAGTTAACTACATAATTTATAACCAGCTGTTATGGCCACAACATATCTGCTCATTTAATAAAAAGTGATTTCGTATTGCTTGGCTGTAAATGTGTATGTATGAATTAAACACAAGTAAGTTAGGTCATAGATCTAGCCGATGGTTTTTGATTATTGGTGCTACATGATTTAATTTACAGAGTTTGATTCGTTTACCGCACTCCAAAGTCAGTAGGAAAAGTGAATTAATGTGATTTGCGCGAGAAAATGTCATATATCTAAGTTGAATTTAATGTCCATCAGGACCATTTGACCTAAGCGGAGTTGATCTCCTGTATGTCAAGTGGGTACTGAGTTCAGCGTACGAGATACAAATGTATGCTTTGTACTCGGTATCACGGCAGAAGGCCAAAGGGCTAAGTACCTTGAAGGTTGACCCAGGAGGTAGCCTCATAGACATCAAGTGCAGGATCGAACCCCACATATGTTGTGAAGTTAAACCAGCTGAACCTGACATATACACACATAAGATCAACGGATGACAGAATGTTATATAAATGATTATAGGAAGGAAAATGGAACATTTGAAGAATCTCCTCACCCGCTCATACCCCCCCACGACTGACCTGAATTTGAGGGAACTCAGAAGTAAATAAAAGATTATTTTTCCTATGAAAAATATAATTTCTCATTATTTTCAGACGTTATTAAATTAAATTTAAAGGCACAATCCTGATTGTAATGCAGTATTCTTCGTTAATGTGAGGGTCTATTTAACTGCTTTAAAAATCAGCATTGCAAACCTTTGTCTCGAACTCCAGCTATTGGTACTAAAGGAAAAACACATAAAAGCACAATACTCTAATGAAGATATATAAACACAATACTCTAATGAATGCAGTATATATATATATATATATATATATATATATATATATATATATATATATATATATATATATATATATATATATAACGTATTTCTTCGTATTAATATACTAACTGCGTCTTTCAAAACATGTAGTTTGGTATAAGTAGATCTTTTTCCATAGTTAGCAAGTATCCTTTGCTATTATTCTGTTTGCCTTCTCTTTGTTAGTTCATATGTTCCCTCGACCGTTACGCCTTGTCAATGCCCTATAAATAATAGACTATTCAGTTTTGACCCAGAGAAAACACGGAAATGATATATCAGAGACACTACTTGTTTCAGTGAGTAAATGAAAGAAATAAAAAAGAGAGAAAGAAATAAAAAAGAGAGAAAGAAATAAAAAAAGAGAGAAAAGAATAAAAAAGAGAGAAAGAAATAAAGAAAGAAGAGAAAGAAATTAAAAGAGAGAAAGAAATAAAAAAAGAGAGAAAGAAATAAAAAAGAGAGAAAGAAATAAAAAAGAGAGAAAGAAATAAAAAAGAGAGAAAGAAATAAAGAAAGAAGAGAAAATAGAGTTTTTAACGTGTGTTTCAGTGAAATGGAAAAAAATATCAGTTTCAAATCTTTTTATTTGTACCCCCTTACTTCTTAAAACAACGAGCAAGTTTCAGATTGCTATTGCAATATTATGTTAAAGTTGTTAAGCTCAAATAATTAATGATGCGATAGAGATATTTCTAGATATTTTATCGCCGTAGATTTCGCCATGAGTAACTCAGATTAACTTAGGAAATAAGATCCATCAAGAAATTCAAATAGAAAAAAACATGAAATTTTAACGTGTCTTTCTACTAAGTTATCCCAAAAATGAAAATTTAGTATGAAGTAAGTATATGTAAGCATAATGTAAACATTAATTAATATGTAGAAAACATATGTAAACAAAATTTATATAGCGTTTGTAGCAATTGAATCTCACACACTTTAACATGGGTATTGGCGTGGTATCGTTGAAGCTAAGCAGAGGTAGTAGTGGTGTCTTTATTCATCTAATGTGTTACTATATTTTAGTATCCCTTTTGTAGCTATATCCTTTGGAATGGTCCTACAAATATTATTCTATAAATCTGTTATATAGGAATAAAGTGTCGCTGCCGACACTTGAGTTTGAACAAAGATCGCCAGTGAGCATACACAGGCGATCCCATTATTGAATTAAGTAGTACACGCAGCCATAGATGAAATGCAGATATGGAAGGTAGCGTGATGTCTAATCGTTCTGCATTTCTACTCTTCTGTTACCATACAGACAACTATTTTCCATACTATTTCACTATACGGATTAATACTGGAGCGAACATTATCGAGCAAGCATTATTAGTACGAGTGATATTCGAAGGCGTCTGACCCTAGTATTTTTCAACAGCGTTAATATAGTTGTATCTGCGATTATAAAATCTCTACTACAATGAGTATTACAAAAGTAACAACGATAGTTGGCAACACTGTTACATCCTGTCATTGCCTGTTAAATAATCGACTAATCCGTTTTGATCGTATGGAAAGAGGGAAAAGACACTACTTTGATTTCAGTGAGAAAATGAAACGAAGAAAGAAAGATAGAAGAGCAGAAAGATAGATAGATAGATAGAGAGAGAGAGAGATAAAGAGAGAGAGAGAGGGAGAATCAAATAAAACCTTTGCAACAGATACTACATTTTGATCCCAGCCAAAAAGCTGAAATGGAATGGTAACCGTAATAAAACTGCCATTTTTCAAACACACAATATCGTGCGACGGAAACCGAATACGACCGTCGAGAAAAATCCAGTTACCTTGAATAAAATAACATCGTCTACTTAACTATTTAATTATTATTAGTACGAGAATGTTGGCTAGAAAGAAAGGAAGAAGGGCAGATAACAATTGTTTAACCTCTCCTTCAAATAACGCATAAATAATGGACTATTCCATTTTCTTTGCGCAGGTATACCCTACTTTGTTTCAATGAGAAAATGAATGAATGAAAGAAAGAAATTGGGAAGGCGAGATGGAAGTGTTAGTGTTTCAGACAAATGGAAAAAAGTTGTCAGTTTGAAATCTTTTTTTATTTGTACCCCCTTACTTCTTAAAATAATGACCGGCATTCATATTTATCATCGTTATTGCAATATTATGTTAAAGTTGTTAAGCCCTTATATTTAACGATGCCACAGGGGCGTTTGTACGGATATTTTCTCGCTGTAGAATACGCCATGAGCTTATTCAATCACTAACCTAAGACTAAATAAGATTCATCAGAATATTAAAATAGAAAACCGTGAAAATTTCACGAGTCTAATATTTTAAAATATGTTATATGGATCAATTTCCCTGTTTTCTTGTTTAATAGGATTGCTTCTTCGAGTATTTTTTGTGGTTTAGAATGTTGGATCTTTTTTTCTAATACTGCATGGGTTTACTGCCCGAACCCCTTCTGTGGAATATGTCCTCGCCTAAGAAATAGTAGATGTTTTTGGCCTGTTTGAATTTGGAGTTCTAAACATAGCTTCTCCAGACACAGAAGTATCTCCATATTATATATAATACACTTTCTTTTTGTTTCTCTTTACACTCTGCTTTGTCGGGTGATATATTTTTCTCCGCGTGGGACACATATATATGTATATATAGTTTTGTGTATGTCATAGTGGTATAAAATTCCCTCTCAGAACAAAGTATTTTTGTCATTCCTTTTCCTTTCAACCATTCCCTTTCGTCCGTGAAATACGGTGTTATTATATCATGGATATAATTATGCCAATAATGGGAGAAATTGGAGACAAAAGCTTACTTCCCTAGCTCTCTCCTGATATACTGAATTTGACCAGAGGCAATAGTTGAACCACTGTCATCTGGAAAGGAACATGAAAATCGTCCAAAATACATATATGAGTATTTTACAAGCATAAACTGCTTTACATTTCTTGTCGAAAGATTGAAATCTCACGAGGTCATTAGAACCTGACAGTGAATCCCCGAAAAAAAATTGGGAGAGTATGTAAACGAGAAAAGCACCAACATTGCATATTAGATAATTAAGATGCGAGAGGAGGCTGACCAGAAAACTCCTGATAAGCGTAAAATAAAGCGCTTTACTCGGCTTCAATGAGGCCATTATAATGCCAAAAGCTAAGAAGAACTGCTGGAAAACTGTGTTATCGCATCCTCCATATATGGAGACCTTTCCTGTCACATAAAATCAACAATCGATATTCTGGTTTTTATCAGAACTGGAACAGTTACCAATGGCGCAGACTGGAAATACGTAATATTTAAAGACCCACGAAGAGGCCATTTTTCTCACTGTTGTGAATTTATCAGATAATTTATTGAATAAAGGGTTCTAATAGTATTCCTATGTATTTCTCCTTTCAAAGATTGGGAATGATTAATGTCTTGTGTTAGGCTACTTTGTGTCTCTTTGAAGTTTCAAACTATTTAGTATTTCTGGATCTCGTCTTTCTTTTTATATACTTTTTTTCCATTGTTTTTCTTTCTTTATTATCATACGCGAGGAGCGTTTTCTGGGATAGAAACGTTGGAGATGTGTGCTACAGGCGGAAGAGAAATTGCCCCAATGTTCGACTTCCAAGTTTATTCCTTGTGTAGTTAATATTGATTTTATGCTAACTTGCAGTTTCTACTTACCAACAACAATTCTGTTCGCCAAGTGCAAGTCTGCTGTTACTTAATTTGATGGCTTCTGATTACACACGATTCAGAATAATTTATTGCAAGCAAATGCTGTGTTTTCTATGCATTTCCAACCAGCACAATTTCTCTAGTTCTCTGATGTGGTAAATTATAGTCTCTTTCACTGGAAAGTTAATGACTTTTTATGCTTTCTTTGAGTGTTTTTCCTTTTACCTCTCAGGTGTGTAAACTATTTTTATTTGATTTATACGGTTTCTTCCTCCTCCTCCTCTTCTTCTTCTTCTTATTATTATTATTATTCTTATTATTTTTATTATTAGTAGTAGTATTAGTAGTAGTATCAAGTGAAATCGAAGCACGTGAAAAAGTGTTGCCGCTGTATAAATATACGAAGGATGATATACCCATAACGGCAAATATAACGATGTACCAGGCACACCCATCACAGCCAAATATGAACAATATGGTGGTAGATTTTGGTAGAATCAGAGCATTATTTTGCATGATTCTGGTAAGGATTATGACAGCATTCACCAACATAAACAAGGAGACCATCCAGAAGAGTTGCAGGAGATTCCATAGTCATCTGGAGGTCGTGGTTCAAGCTAATGGCGATTTTATTGGATAAATTTACTGTTTAGTAGTTCAAGTTATTTTTGAGTCATTTTTTATATCTGTTCAAATGAGATGTCTGTGTTATCTTCATTTTTATGTAACTTAGACGACATTTTATCATCGCATCCTGTATTCTGCAATTTCTTAAAAAAATCAAACTGTATTCCAAAATATAACTTCAATAAAACTACAACATAAAACACGCATATCACCGCCTCTAGTAATTAAGTTCACAGAAAAATGTATATGCGCAAATGCTGAGTATCGTCTACCATGTATTCAACTGTAAAAGCAGAATAACAAATATCATATTTTTATTACTTCAAAGAAAGATGAGAAAATTATTTTTAGGCGTTAAATGACCAATCAGGTGTTGTTATGCCATTAAACAAATAAACCAACCAATCGCCGCGTTGATATTGACAGAACATTTACTCTCTGTCCGTTCTTCTTTTCCCTAAGATTCATTGGATAATAGTAGTAGTACAAAGATTGTTGGCTCTTTAGATATACCCTTAGAATTTCAACATTCAATTCTTCACGGTAGATATCATGTTTCCCTCCGGTGCTTTTTTTCTTGACTGATTTTGTGTGGCACTCTGTTTACATAGAATATACTTAGAACAGTTCAATAGCTTCTGAGTTCTGATATTTCGAATCTTCACTGTAATTCTGCCGTTCATATCCATTATTTGCAGGCGTATGGAAAAAAAAGAAACTCAGAAGGACAAAGAACGCAGCAGCCTGATCTTTGATTTCAAACCACTGTTTCTACTCCGCTTGAAAATATATCTATATTTAGATATTTTGAAACATTATCTAATGTATATATATATATATATATATATATATATATATATATATATATATATATATATATATATATATATATAAAGTTATATATCTCTGTCTGTAGTCTCTGTTTTTATCGAACTCCTCGTCGAGTTTTGGAGATATACCCTCCATATAACCACATATATTCTGAAACTACAGTACCCAGGGTACTTGGATAAGTATATTTCATTTTGATCAAAGGGAGTCCCCGGAGGGCACAAACCGCTACTGAATATTTTTTCCCTTTAATTTAAATTATATTTGCACAAGAGAACGACTCCTATCCAAAATTTCAAAATATAGAAGGAAAAAGACAGAAGTAGGAGGTCACATCGGTAAGATCAAAAGGAGACTGTATGGACGTCAAGTTGAGGAAGTCATTGAGTAATGCCTTACAATACATATTTGTTGCGACAATTTAGCTATCATATCAATGCTGAAATCTGCTCATGAATTCATTCAATCAAGTATTGCATCAAATACATATCTAAAGGTTAGATCAAACTGTTTTTGATCAAACCCCCACTGATCTCCCTTTGATTGAAATTATATTTAAATTTGAACAAGCGTATGACACCTATCAAAATATAGAAAGAGAAAGCCAGAAGATGGAGGTAAAAGTTCATTGGGTAACATTAAAATGCATCATTTTACTCCACAAATTATAACAATGTTTTAAAATCAATCATCACTTTCTTACAAAAAATGCGTGACGCGCAGCAAGATGCTGGCTAGTATATTATAAAATGTTAAATCTCATTATTTCGTAAAATAATATATTTAAAGAAGAAGTATTTCAAAGTATGCTAGCGTCAAAAATTGATTTAGCGAAACAAATGTAACGTCATAAAAGAAATACTTGTTTTCTTTTTTTTATAAATAAATTCACATTTACGCTTAAAGACCGTGACGATCTGATATATTTTTTCCCCGGTTAACTTAGCTAGGGTATGTAAGCTCATTGGTCCCTTTTATTTCTGTCCCTATTTTTTCTTTTGTTTAATTCCCCATCCCCTCCCTCGTTAGGTGGTTAGTGATGTCAGTTTTCTGGTGGATGCGGGGCGCCTTTCGTTTCGGGTGTGTGCTTTCGTATTTGTTGTTGTGTATGAATGAGTGAGTGTTTGTGTGAATGCTTGATGGTTTGAATGTGTTCTTATTTTCTTAGTCCCGCATCGATTTCGTCCGGTTAACTGATATTTCTGCCACATTCATAGTTTGTGGGGGGTTTTATTACTAACTGAATTTTGTTTAGTTTATTGTAAATAATTAATTCACTTTGTAAATATTCATTTGGGGATTTTAAAAGTTGTTATTTTATGACCCTGCCCCCATGAACAATATCTGTAAATAAGGGGACTAGTTAGGACTTCATAGAGAAACTGAGGTATTATGGTGGACGTAGTAAGAAAGGTAGGAGTGAATGTGTTGTTTTGGTGATTGGATTATTGTTGGCATGTTTGGGTCAGTGTCTGCGACTAGCTAAGTTTAGATTTAAGACAGATGAAGACCGTCATTCCCCATCCCCCTTTTTGGCCTTGTGCCGCATTTTGTATTTTAAATGCAAATAAATATTGTGACGATCTGATATATAGCAGCAAAACTTTGGGTTGTAAGTAAAGCTATGCATTTAAATTTATTTGTTAATATGCCTGCTGTCTTTTGAGGCTGTATTCTTGAATTACAAGGGCGGTTTGCCTTAAAGGAATTATTCCCCAGTAGTAGACTAGTTGACCGTTTTTGTTGCGAATAACATTTTTTCTGTAAACATAACATCTAATAGTATTATTAACATCGTATATAGCTGTTCCACATTTTTAATTTTATCTACAGGTCCCTTTAAAAAGCTTCCTGAATATAAAAAAAATACTTCTGTTAACTTTGTGTCTGATTAACCTACCAAGTCCCTTAAACAAATACAAATTGTCATATCTGGCTAAAATCACGATACATTAGTCACTGTCATATCCTCCACAATCGTCAATAATACTCTGTCTATATGTCGTTTTATCGCGACATGAAGGAAAACTATCTCACCCAACCGTATTTTTCTATTTGGTGTAGATCTGACATTTAATAGGTTAATCCAGATATACCCACTAGTCTATATTTAATTTCTGACCTTATGCACCTTTAACTTTAAGAAAAGAAGAACAATTTGTTTTTAAATTTCCCTAAGAAATCATTTTATAACCAGTTACTTACCATCGCCTGAGGAAGTACAATCATAGTATTGAAACATGTAAACTTTTGTGTAGTGATTTAAAAAGTTTTTTGTAATATTTTGTAAGAAAATATAATAGTATTTTGCTCTATTTTGTTTTGGGCACTGTTTTAACAAAATTTAAATGCTTCGAACCCGTGGAATTTTAATCGATTTGTCCTTTCTCTCATTTGCATATATATATATATATATATATATATATATATATATATATATATATATATATATATATATATATGTATGTATGTATGTATGTGTGTGTGTGTGTGTGTGTGTGTGTGTGTGTGTTGAATTGTCACTTAGCTGATGTTGTATTTAGCACATTGACTGTGGGGTTTCATAGACGAATTGTTTTGCACATAAAAATGAAACTATTGTTTTAGTCATTTGGGAGAAGCCTTTTTAACTTCGATCAGCATGACCGATGCTAACATCCAGGAAAGTGACTGCTTACGCTTTCTCTGACTTCTTCTTCTTCTTCTTCTTCTTCTAATTATTGTTATTGTTATTATTATTATTATTATTATTATTATTATTATTATTATTATTATTATTATTATTATTCCTGTCGTGTCCCTTCAGGAAGTACGCAATAATTTACAAGTCAGATAATTGCAGAATCTGTTAGAAAAAAATCACTTTAATCTGTACCGAAAACTATATTTAACGTTTTTAATTCTTGTGCAAACTGAATCTGTATCTACATTTTCCACTCTAGTCTATACTGTAACCACATCCCCCCCCTCTTTAATTCTCTCGCAAAGACGATCTATGTCTATTTTTTTATTCTA